TCTCTCCCGCCCCTGTTTTTGGAGTTTTTTTTTTTTTTTTTTTTTTTTTTTTTTTTTTTTTTTTTAGATAAATAGGAGGCTTTTTAATCTATTTTCCTTCTCCTTTGGGGTTTTCTGTAGGTTAGTGATGGTGCACCTATCTGCTTTCCTTTTTTTTTTTTTTTTCCCTTAATATTGGTCTTGGCTTTTTAAGAAGAGGAGGCTAGATAACTCTGATTCTCTCTAGAAATGCTGACTTATTCCTTAGTTATACATGATATGACAGTCCTGACAGTAAGCTGTTGAAAAGCTACCTGGTGATTCACAACAAAGCTTAGATTAATTTTCACTTGTGGTAGTAATGAAATCGCTTATGAATCCAAGGCCAGAGGATGTGCATACCGCAACAGGGGTCTTACAGCTCAAACCCTGTTTGTTGAAGTTTTCATTCTGAAATGCCAGTGAGGTGCTGCCTCCTACCTGGGATTCCAGAGAGGAGTGCCTCGAGCAAAATCTGAGATGCGGTCAAAGATTGAAAGTAGAAGATACGCCATTCAAAATTGAATTCTCTTTTCAGTCTTCCCAGATAGTGTATTTGTTCTGGCAACAAGCTGAAAGCTTCTATTTTTAAGGTTTTGTTGCATGTGTGTGTATGTAAAAAAAAATACCCAAACAAACCCAACCCCAATCTCTACTGCTACAGTAGTACTTATTTTATGTGTTTACATAGATATATAAAAATAGTAGCTTTTATAGTTACTATATGTAGTACATGTATTTAACTTCATAGGTAATATATGGCTATTATATAAGCTATACTTTATATTCTATATATAGTAGATATCAGGGTGTGATTGCATATAAATAGTAGGTTTGTCTAAATTTTTTTTTAAATGAGAAACACTAAATTGTGGGTATTTAGGCATGCAAAAGCATGAGTACTGTTGATTCCACCTATCCCAAGAGATTTAGGTGCTTAGGTGTATGAGAAAATTCTAAAAATTGGATGGAGTTTTTAAATTTTTTTTTTGGGGGGGAGGGGAGGAAGGCTGTCATTGTATGTTTATTATTCTTTGTATTACATATATTTAATATTCTTCAAAGTAAAAACATTGCCAGAGCAGAAGAGCTTCCAAGAGCCCTTGGAAGGTCTCATCAGGATTCAATGTTTCACCTGTTTTCTTTTCTCTAAATTATCCTGATAACTTTGATTATATCCACATCTCTTGCAGTTTGGGTCTCATGTTTATTTCCTAGCTTGTATTTTGTTCTGTTACTCTTTTTAATGACACCAGAGGCAGAAAGCCAGCCGAGCCAGGACTACGTGGACTCCCTGCAGCGACTGAAGGACACACTGAGCAACCTGGAGTGCCAGCAGCAGTCCATCACCAGTGGACTGAGTGAACCCAGTAAGGTTGAGAAGGCCCTGCAGCAGGCAAAGGTAACTCTTACCTTTGCACTGAAGTGAGGAAGTTGCTTATTCAGTTACTGTCATCCTCCTTTCTCCTGCCTTGTTTTCAGTGGGATAACTAAAATGTTACTTAGGGGGAGATTGATCAGGGAATAGTGTGTGGAAGCGGGATCTCTGGAGATTGCTTGCTGAAAGCTGGGTTACAGCAGGTTGCTGAGGGATGTGTCCAGGTGAAGGTTGGGTTCTCCAACCTTCACAGTTTCCCTTGCTGCCTGTGCCAGGAGATAAATCCAAGAGAGCTGCATTGGCTCAGCTGGGGGAAGAGGAGACTAAGGGATCTTCTCTGAAGTGTTGCAGTGCCATGGACCACCTTTTGTAGTCTTCCCAGGCTCTTTCCAGTGTGCTTAACTCTCTCTTGTGCCAAGGAGCCCCAAAATGGATGTCAGGACACTTGGGCGCATCCTCCTTGGAGCTTGGTTGGATCAGGTTGGTGGCCCGGTCTGAGATTTGCTCCTTTGTCACTGAGCGTGGTTGTGAGGAAAGCTGGGAGCCTGCTGCTGTTCTCTCCCTTGGGAGCTGCCTTTCAGCTCTCTCTGCCGGAGCTGCATTGCAGCCACCTGGTTAACAAGTCCGTCCCATTTCATCCTCCTCAGCTGTTATGGAAGAGTAACTGTACTTCTCTGATCTCCAGCTTCCCTTTCAAAGGGAAACAGCACTTTCAAGCCATAAAGGCAATCGATGCACAAATTATGTGCAGTAGAGAAAGTATTTTGTTTCTGGCTATGAGCCTATAAAGTAGGGAGAAAATGTATGGATAACAGTTGCTTTGTAAATATCATTTACTGAGTCAGGGCTGGAGCAAGGGACGAGTATCCTGTGGCAGTGGTACTTCCCCCCCCCCTTTCTTTAAAAGACCAGACAAATAGTTTCGCATGTGGAATCACGCTTAATTCAGAAACACATGTTTTTCCCTGGGTGGTGGCATTAAGCAGTTGCAGGTGACTCTGGAAGACCTCTTGAACTCCAGTTGCTGGGTGAGAAGAGGCCATGCCTGTCTTTATACGCTTGTCTATTCAGCAGAGTGATCAAATAGGTATATTTAAAAGCCCAGTAAACAGTGGTGTTAGTACTTCAGGTTTTTTGAACCAGCGGATTGGGGAAAAAAAAAAAGAAAAAAATTCTGCGTTCTTTGTTTTTCTGTTTTTAACATTGCTTCTGTGTTGTTTAAAGTTGGCAGAGGTTTTTCTGGTCCATATGCTGGTTGAATTGCAATGGCATTTAGTCTGTGAAGGCTTCTTGTTTACAGCTTCTGCCCCAATCCCCTCTCCTCTGTTTCTTCAGAGACTAATTGACCTGAAAGGACATACTATGCCAGTGTGGAAGCTTTAAAGAGTGTGGTGGGAAATGGAAACAAACCATGAATGATGACCTGCTTGTGGACCTGGGATGGCCCAGCTCCTGTACTGTAGCAGGCACTGCTAAGTGCTTCAGGCATAGACCTAAGCCAGGGATTGACTGGCTCTGGCCCAGTGCTCAGAAAGCACCTGCTTTGTGGATATACGTCATTCTTAGTCTCATTGCTACCTCACTATCTTTTTAGAGGAACTGGTACACCTTATCCTTTTACTTCCTGTAAATACAAAGGAAAACTGAGAATATAAACATATCAAAAAAAGATTCTTCCTCAGTATAATGCAGTAAAACATATGCACACATCCCACATGTACACATTAAACATATGTACTAGCAAAGTTAAATTAATGAAATTAGTAATGGTTTCATGTGTTCATACCAAATTTCTCTCTTTAAATTTTAAGCAGAACTTGAATGATCAGTTTAATGAAGTGGCAGCAGTTTTTCGTGTCTTGGCTTATACCTTCAGCTGCTATTTTTTCCTTAATATTAAGAAATTAGGTATTTCACCTCAAGTGACCCTTCATACCAGCAATGCCCTAGTGAATATATGCCGATTGTATCCTCCCTGTATTCCAGCTGGAAGAGTAACTTTCAAAACTCATGTATCCAGAGGTTTCATTGCAACTAGATGTTACAATAATTTTACTTTAAAAAATTCAAAGGACACACTGAACCTGTTTGTGTGGGCTTTAATATTTGTTTTCTTTTGGTATAAATATATATGTATGTATGTATCTGTGGAGGGAAGGAAAAAAAACCAAACCAACCCCAACTGCTGAAGTCCTGGTGTGTCTACTCTGCAGTTTCTTTCATGACTGCGGCGTAGTGTAGCCATTGCTTTGATAACCTGACTGCCAAGTACCCCACAGCCCAGGAGAGGTGCCTCGGTGTGTTTACCTACTTGGTCAGGCTTTAGAGACCATTCTGTAATCTCTGCTACTGCACCAGTAGAGTAGTTGGAGGTTTTTCTGCTTAAAAGGTTGTTTGGACATCTCTGCTGCAATAACTACAGTAACTGGAATATCACTTTCTACTGAATCTGTTCTCTACACAACAAAACCTTTGATGTGCTTGCACTTGTATGTGTGTACCTGCTGTATGGCTAATACTTGAAGCTGACATATAGCGTGTTTTTTGGGTTTTTTTTGTTTGTTTGTTTGTTTTTTTGTTTTTGTTTTTGTTTTTTTTTGTTGTTGTTGTAGGTGGTTTGTGAGACACTGGAAGCTCAGAAGCCCAGGATAGATAAACTTGCTGAAGAAACAAAGACTTTGGAGAAGCACGCTGCTTTGGATATAAAAAAAGTCTACATGCAAGAGTTCAAGGATGTGCAGGGACACTGGGACAAGTTAAAGCTCAAGATTTCCAAAGATGTTAAATTACTGGAGGAAATTACATCCAAGTTGAGAATATTTGAGGTAAAATTAAAGATTTTTTTTTTTTTTTTTGTTAGGTAATTCAGTTGTTTTACAGCTCTTTGTGTTCCTGCAGGAGTCCAGATAATACTGATTGAGAAGTGAAATGTTGATGGGCCACCATAGTGGCAGAGGCTGGAAGCTTATATAGTGTATTTGTAGCAGGGTAGCAGAGGACTTTTGATATTCCTAAGATATATTATTTTATGTTCTAATAGAATTACTTTTAACTTAAAACTAGCATTACTCTTCTTGCAGTATCAGAAGCAAAGGTTACACTGAAATCAAGGGTACATCAGCTGTGCTGTTGAAGGCTTGATCCTACCAGTAGCTGAGTGCTCTCTAATGTGGTTGGTGTCAGATGCCTAGTGTCTTTGACATCTAAACTTGAAAATCTGTACCTGCTACAGAAAACCTGCTCCTTCAAGTGAGATTCTTGTCACCTGTAATAAAAAAATAGTACAGCCTGTTTAAAAAAGGAACTAAAGAAAATGCTTAGGTATAGTGAGCTTTCCAGTTCCAACAAGATTAATCAACACCCTTACATATTATATATATGTTATATATATATGTGTGTGTGTGTATATATATGTATATAGAAACATATACAATCCTGCATGACAGAAAATCCCAATGCTTTAAAAATGAGGGGACTAAAAGCAAGGGTATTTAAATGTTTAACACACTGATAAAGAGGGGAGAGAAAAGTTGACTCAGTATTTCCTAGTTAAACGTGTTTCTTTGTGTTTCCTATTAATTTCATTTCCCTATTGTATTTTAAACTTCAAAAAGCAAGAAGGTGCTTTTAGAGATTCTCCGTCTCTCGGGATGAAGATGCATGTGCATTAGCTTACAGAAAAGTGTATTTTTCACACGCATTAAGCATCTAAATGTGTCACATTATTTACATTCTTTTTGATTTAATAGAGTATGTATCACACAGTTGGTAAAGAAAAACCCTAAAAAAAGCAATTTGCTGCAGGCACCCTATTCAGGACATTGGTGCCATTCATACACACCACCACTTTTCCCAAACGGTTTATTTCAATCTTGCTGTCTCCTCCCTCTGAAGCAAAAAGCTGTTTCTGTTGGATAATGGATTCAAACTTGAAACTAAGTGTTGGGTTTTTTGTTTGTTTTTAATTTGTCTTAAGCCAGACAGGATCTTTAATGGCTAGTCAACATGTGTTTAAACTGAAATTTACATTAGGAAGGCCAGGTAATTGACATGCCTGATACTGTAGTGAAAGTTGGACAAGCCATTGCTGATTATGGTTCAGAAGTAGTAAAAGCCTTGTCTTGTCTTTAAAGAAAACCCAAAACCAAGCCAAAACCAAATGAAACAAACAAAAAAACAACCCCTCACAAAACAAACAAACCCTACTCCTCCCCCAACTAACCAAACCATAAACCTGGAAGAAGTTGTACTAGAGGAAGCAGATTGTAAACAAATGACAATAAAAAACGGAATGCACACCCAAGTTTTACTTTTGGGAAAAAAGCTGAAAGGAAAAACTTGCTCCTGCTTATAAAGTGTTTTTCACTATTTGTTTTGGGACTTGAGCTGTTCCTAGCAGAGTGTATGAGATGTGTGTGTATGAATAGCATAGGTATGGTATTCCAGTCTAGGCTGCCGAACTTGTAAATAGAAGCCACAAACCAACCTGTGAATAGGAGGAGGATTTGTATGTAGTTTTTCAGAGAAAAAAGTGTGTATTTCTTTAGTTAGGCTGTATTACATAAAGCATAAAGGTAAAAGCTGTGCGTGCCTCCCCTTAAAAAACACGTTCAGGAACACGTGTACTTCTGCACCTACATTTGAAAGAGTTTCTGCTTTTAGTCTGGTTTCTTCACACTCATCCTTCTGTAGCTACTTGCAGCAGTCTGTGGGATGATGTGGAGTTGTGGAGGAGCTGATGCTGCTGTTGAGCAGGATCTGACTGCCCAAAGTGAACTGGCTCATACAGGAGCTTAGAAGAAATTAGCTTCTAGGGCTTAGCTAAGCCCTTGGTGATTACTTTCCAGCAACCACTTCCTCATTAATTTTCCTCCTGAGTTGACCTAAATGTACAATATCCCACCATGTCTCATTCCCTTCCCTCTTTTTCTGGTTACACTTATTAGTTATTTAGCATGACAGAATAAATATTCTTCATATAAGCCTGCCTTAGTAGCCTTTGTGCAACAACTTTTGATCAGTTTTGTTCTTCCAATGATTGCGGCTTTTCAGTTGGCTTGATTATCTATAGCTATATTGAGCCAGACCTACTTACATCATTTAGCAGGATTTTTTTCCCCCTTTATTTCTTGTAAGTGCAGAACTCTTCTTTTTCTGCACTTGAATCAAGTTCAGTTAAGTGGCCTGTACATGCACCTACATTCCTAAATCACAGCTTTAACTGAGTGAAGAATGGCTTCTGAAAACTGAAATTCTCTGTCATGTTTAACTTGAGAGTGGGGTACACACTGTGCAGTATTAGCATGGCAGGTTTTTATTTAGGAATTAATTATGCAGTTTTTCCAGCCAAAGGTGAAGTGCCCTGTTCTCCACAGCTGTCCAAAGCGATGTTGTATACAAAGCACTCACTGATGAGAGATGGGGATTTTTATGCCAGTGTGAATTTTGAAGAGCTATTGGAGAGCAAAGTATTGAAGCCTCGTTCTGTTGTAGAGATCTGAGAACAGAATTTTGTCCTGAGTGAGATGTTAAAACTTTCTTGTTACCTTAAAAACAAGTAGAGAAGCTGAAAAAAAATTAAAGCAGAAGAAACATTAGTAGTAATTATTAAATAATTGAAAATGGAAGGAATGTGTTGTGGCACTATCTGTAGAAATATGGAAGTGTTTTCTAATGAACTGAATTTTTAAGTGCACAGTTTCTGTGTTTTCTAAATGTTTCATAAAGCTATCAGTGATGGACAGTCATGTAATTCCCTGATTTTTCCTTTTGAAGGAGTGGTACTAATCTATACAGAGATTTTTGCAGTCTAGCATTGCATGACTAAAAATGAGAATGTAGAACAAGTTAAATAAAAGTGTTGTGGACAGTACTGGGCGGATCAAGATGGAACTTGCACTGCAAGAAACATTGATGCAGGAGACGGTATATGGTCCTGATGCAGACATTGTATGGGTCAGTACTGGAGATGTGATACCATAGACATAAGATTAGTTTGGAGAACGTTTGGGCAGTATCTCCTTGATTATGAGAGGAGATGAAGCATTTGGGTATTAAAGGGCAGAAAAAAATTAGGGGAGAAAAGGAAAAAAAAAAGGAGTAAGTGGATGGCAACCCTTGGAAAACATAGTCATATGCAACTACACACAAGTGTTGGTTTACTTTTAATGGTTCCTTTTTTTCCTAATTCACCTTTAAAGGCTGGCATTTCCCAAAACAGCATTCCCCACGTTTAGGTTTTTGAAAAGAAAGTGAATGTAAGTATTCTAATTTTAACAGTGAGCAGACAGGTGAACAGTGCTTAAAATGTCCTTGTTAGTGTGATGAGCAAGTCTCTGGCAGATCTGCCTGTGGGTCCTGCAGCTCAGGTGGTCCTTCTGTGATTTGTGATGTGACAGAGGCTCCCCCAAGCTGACAACACATGCATTAGTGACATGATCTGTGTTTTACTGTGAGACTCTCTGTAATGCTCATGTGATGGGAAAAGTAGACAAGGTTCGTTTTACCAGTTTTGTGACTAATACTTTTTAGAAGAAAATTTCTGTATCTCTTATTCTGTGTTATCATACCTCTAATAACATGTGGCTTGCTGTGTCTTTGATTATGCATCACCTTCAGTTCCTTTAAATCTATTGTATGGCCGTACTATATGTGGTTTCTCTAGGTGTGAACAAGTTAAATTTCAGCACATTTGATTTTTGTTCCTGCCTGGAATAACTTTTAGAAACTGGTACAGTTTTTTAGTTCATGCCTAAAAATTGTGAGCTCTTGTACACCAACAACTGTCCTGGGTTCATTTTTTTTTCAGCAGTGGTCATTTTTCTCCTTCTTAGTAGCTGGTGCAGTGCTGTGATTTAGAGTTAATCTGGGAACAATGCTGGTAACACCGATGGTTTTAGTTGTTGCTCAGTAATGTTTACTCTGACCAAGGACTTTCTCAGTCTCATGCTCTGCCAGGGAGGAGGGGAAACCGTGAGGAAGCAGACACAGGACACCTGACCCAAACTGGCCAAAGGGGTATTCCATACCACAGCACGTCATGCCCAATATATAAACTGGGGGGAGTCACCCGGCAGGCCCAGATCGCTGCTCGGGTCAGGCTGGGTATCGGTCGGCGGGTGGTGAGCGGTTGTATCCTCTCCCCTTGTTATTGCTCTTATCATTATTATTGGTAGCAGTAGTGGTTTGTATTATACCTTAGTTACTGGAGAGCTGTTATCTCAACCTGTGGGAGTTACATTCCTCTGATTCTCCTCCCCATCCCTCTGGGAGCGGGGGGAGGAAAAAGGGGGGAGTGAGTGAGCGGCTGCGTGGTTCTGAGGTACTAGCTTGGCTTACACCACAACAACCTACACTGGTTGTTTGACCATTGGTAATTTTTCACCTGTGCAGTGCAGGAGCATTTACTTCATTAAACTTCTGTAGTCTTGGCTTGTGATTCAGCAAATCATTTGAATGTGTGCCTAACTTTGTGAGTAATCCCATTCAATTCATTTCAGCTACTTAGGTAAGTAGCTTACTGTAAGCAAGGTAAAATAGTTATATATTAAAATGCCTTATCAAATGGCAACCTCTGTAAGTATGTATTCTTTTACATCAAGCCATGGTTCACTGTTAAGCCTCCTGGGGTCTGGTTTGGTTTTTTTTTTGTTTTTTTTTTTTTTTTAAATTATTTTCAGGCTAATCAGCTGCAGGAATTTCCCCCAAATGGAAAAGGAATGAAGAAAATGTCATGACTTCGACCTCTCGAGGTAGCATTGGCCTAAAAATAAACATGATCTTAGTCTAATGGGGTATCATTAGTGCAGACATTTTTTTGAGAAGCAGTGTGTAGCGTATTGATCTTGAAAGAACTGTTATTGCAGGGTTTTTAAGGAAATGAAGTGTGTGCTTTCCTCCTCGGTGACATGCAGAGTAGAAGGTTAAGCTGATGAGCTTTAACTCAGCTTCTCAATAACAGTGCTCTGTGATGACAGTTGTGTCAGAATAAAAAGGTGCCATCTCTTAAACCTAGCCAAACAGTCAAAAAAATGTTGATTAAAAAACCTTCTAGCTATGCCATTAGAAAATGACAATCACATAACTCAGTTGAACCAGGACAAAGAGAAGCTTTCTCCCTGCTCTAAGTTTGTAGTGGTTTTGTTTGTAAGGGTGACTGGGGACATCCACAATTCTGTGGGAAGGAGATGTCAACCCTCCTGTCTCCCTCCCCACCTACCTCATCGCAGGATAAAAGGCAAGTGCCAGATGTTAGGTCAGATAACCTCAAAATTGTGTATGTGCTTGTTCTTTTCCCTCATGCATTGCCCCAGTGAGTACAGTAGCTGTTATTGGCCTCAAACAGCTAGATTTATTTTCTTCTATGGTTAGTGTAATCCCCTGTGGTATTTTAGTTTTATGCCTGTGTTTCTCTGAAAGGAGAATGGCTTTCCCAGCATAGCTTCAACCTATCAAGTATGTGCAGCATTGCCCCCCTCCTCTTCTCTCCACATATATTTCTATAGAGCCCTGTCTTTTCCTTGGAGTGCAGTGTCTCTCTTGAACAAGTGTGGTGGAAGCAGTCATACATGGTTTCTGTTGTCAGGAAAACGCTATTCCCAGCCATCAGCCAGCTCCTTCATATGAAGAGTAACTACATGTCTCTTGGAGCCATGCTTACCTCCTTACTTGATCCTGTGTTTCTCTGTTGTAGATAGCCTGGAGCAATGCTGTGTCAATTTATGCTGTGGCATAGACAGGAGAATATCATGATTGTGAATTTAGTTTTCATATAAATTTAAGAACAGAAACTGGGGAGAAAAAACCAAAACCAAAAATAAAACCAAAGGTGGTCTGATTCAAAACCAAGGCAACCAAGCTTGTAAAATATTCTTTTGACATGGCTAGAAGTTGAAATGCAACAGCCGTACATTCTTCATCATGGTATTGTATCAACTCTTCATTACTATTTTTTATTTAGACTGATTCAAAAGTCATTCAGAAGTGGATGGATGGTGTGAAAGACTTTTTAATGACAGAAAAAGCTGTCCAAGGAAATACTGAAGGACTTCAAAGGCAACTTGACCAGTGCACAGTGAGTTTTGCTCTCTTAAGGAATCTTTTGAAATAAATAATGACTCTCTTCTTTATTATTTTGCTTGCTTTGTCCATGGCATATTCTACAAAGCCTGCTAGAAAAATTGTCATATCTTTCCTCAGGGCACATTTTAATTGGTTCTTTGTGTGTAGCCATAACACTTTCTACTTTTCAAAGGTCTTTACCATATTTACCAAATATTCATCTACAAGTTGACTTTATTTTCCCTGAAAATGTTTATATATTTTTCCCAATTTTGTGATAAGGGAATTGAATCTGTGAGTGCAAAGTGCTTTCTTCATTAAACTCCCAAGGGCGATAAAAGTAACAAGAAAAGAACTGTGATGAAGCTCCTAGAGTTTAGGAATTGTATGTACCTTACAAGTAAGGTTCCTTCCTAGCTAGTGGCATGTGATGATCACAAATATGCAGAGTTTCATCTTATAATAAGTAATTACAGTGCATCTTCAAATGTTTCTTTCTGGGAGAAGAATACAAGTGTGAGGTATGCCTGAAACATGAGGGTATTTAGTGCACATAATCTTCAAACCTGCATTGTTCTGGTGTTGACGGTTGGCATGTGAGAATGTTTGTGCTGTATATGTATTTTGGGGTTTAGTTGCATAGTTCTAATGTTTTGGGCCACTGAAGGATTGTTTTAAACAATCTGGTTTTGAACACAGCATCAGTCTGCTTTTATATTAAAGTTTCTCCAGAATAATTAAAAATTACAAAACTATTGGTGTCCTATAAATGTATGTGATTTCTTGCTAAAGAAGGACATTCACTTTCTCTGTGTGCTCAGATGTTTGTCAATGAAATGGATACGATTGAACCATCACTGAAAGAGATGAAAGAAGTAGAGTCTGCTTTAAGAGCTCAGCCTATTGCAAGCATAAATACTTGGGCAAAGTCTAGGCTAGTGGACTGCCAGACTCAGTGGGAGAAACTGAGCAAACAGGTGAGTTCTCCATACGTTGCTAGTGCTCTCGCTTGTTACCAGTCTTGGTAGGATGGTGAAGAGGTGAAGCGGTGAAACAGTGGCATGGGTATGTTTTACTAGTCCTACTGTCAAAATGGCTGAAATACAACTTGACCCAGTGAATCCTTCAGAAGCACAAATATGTTAGGGGAAGCCAGCGCAACGGTAGTTTTGTCTGAATATGTGAATTTCTCAGTTCCTACCTGTAAGGAGCACAGTGAAACTCTCTAATTGTAACTGAAGGTTAATTTGTTCATTTTGCCTTATGCTGCTCTTTCTTGGGTGGGTGGGAAGGAAGACTGACCTTCTGATGTTCCTGAAACCTGGAATATTATTCTGGTCCTGTGTAATTTCTGCCTGCTTCCAAGCAGCTTTAAAGAATAAATAATTATAAATAGACAACCACTTCATTCTGGTTGTATCTTTTGGGTGGAAGCTTTCTTGCTGTCTGTAGAAACATACTTTGGTTGCAATGCCTGGCAAGTATCTGTGTTGGAGAACCTGTTGATATAGAACCCAGGTTGCCTGGGATGTGGAAAAAGGCGAGGCCTGAAGGGTGTTAGGGCTCTGTATAAAGATATACCTAACTATGTGATACTTGGGATCAGAAGAAGTTTTCCTTCCCTCAGATTTTTTCCAGGGATTTTTACCAGTTTACATGCAATGAGGAAAAAGTAATTTTCCTCCTTCCCTTGGCTCTAGATATTGTTGATATGCTAAAAAAGGGAACATAAGTTTCTGTGTGTGTCTGTAAAAATAAAAGGCTTTGTTAATTAAAAAGGACTGAAAAGGTTTTGATTGTTAAATGTTTTAACAAAAACTCTCATTTTTTTTTTCTTCACATATACAACGGTATTTAAGTAACAGAACTGCTGTTTCTTTCTCCACCTTGGATTCTAGATTGTTAGTCAGAAAAATCGCCTGTCTGAAAGTCAGGAAAAAGCTGTAAATCTGAAGAAGGATTTGGCAGAGATGCAAGAATGGATGACCCAAGCTGAAGAAGAATATTTGGAGAAAGATTTTGAATACAAGTCTCCTGAAGAGCTAGAGAATGCTGTGGAGGAAATGAAGGTCAGGAATACCAGGTCATTGTAGAGACCTGATTAAAAAGAAGCAAAACTTAATGGCTCTGGGGGTTGACCTTTGTGGAATTATTAACTATGTGGAAAGGAGCTCAGGTCATGACAGGATTAGTGGTATTTTTCAGCTTTGCTTTGTGGAATTTCTGGTTTTTAAAGCACAAACTGTAAAAGCAGATGTTCTATTTGGCCATGAGGGGTAGGGGTTTCATAATGAATAGCAGCTTGCCCAGCTGTTAAGCCAGGCTTACTATGTTTAGCACATTAAACAGTAAGAATATGGAAACTTATTGCAAGAGATGAAATCTGGAAAAGAAAGAAAAAGTGGTATCATACCTGCATAAATTAGTGCATGTGAAAACATTCTTCTGCTTCTAGCTGTTGTTGGGCTTCAATTTCTTATCCCTTAGATACAGCAACTCCACATTTAGAAAAGAAGTTTAGAAGAGTTCTTTTATAAGGTCATCTTCTGTTCTTCATCTGTTGTGAACAGTGATGCTGGTCCCTGCATCTCTAATTTTGGGACTGGTGGCCAAAGAAACTGAGAGGAAGGAGTTATTTTTTTTCTCCTTATAAATTGTCAGTTGAATAGATAGTTTTCTTGGATGTATGTGCAAAGCAAACAAAAATGCTCTCTGCTTCTAAATCTGAGAGTTCAGGCATACCTTCACAAATGTTTTTGACTTGTATGCCTGTTATTTAAAAGAGTATCCGCTACACTGTTACTTGGTGGAGCATAAAATGAAGTTTTTTATTTTCTTTCCTCTCTTACAACTGCTTTGGCAAATCTGTTTGAAGTTTTGAGTTGTTCTCTTTGAAGGGGCTTTCTGAAGCAGTCCCTAACAAGTGTTTTAATATATCTATGTCCTTTGAAGCCATTTGAGGTCACATAGTCTGACGGCTTGCTGGACACAAGCCAGGAAAAGAAAGAACCTTCTTTTCTCTGGCAGATCTGAGAGACTTTGAGCACGTTTACCTTTGTCAAATCCAGATTATATTCTATACTTTTAAATTTGGCAAATATGTCAGCAAGCCAGTAAACTGTATTGTAACACTTGCATATCCTCTTTCATTTGCAGTAAGGATATTATGCTGGGAGTACTCTTAGGACTGGGAAGGAACATTCTTTGTATATTTGACCAGGAGCATTTTTTCATAAGGCTTTGAAAAACTTCTGACCTTGCCTAATTCTGCTCTCATTTGAACAGAGAGTGGAATTCATGCTGGCATTTGAAGGAGTAGATTGAAAGTGAGGGTAGATGGTTTTTGGTAATCCTGCCATAAAATAATATGTTCCCCAGATTTTTCCATTCTTTGCTCTTCCATTAACTGGCTTTTTTTTTTTTTTTTTTTTAATTGCCTTATATTTTGAAGACATCTTGAACAATATGTGCAGCAATAATGTTGTCATGTACTAAATTCTACCATAAAGTTTCTTATGTATCAGAGGTACTTCAGTTCCATGAAACCGTTCTTGAAACCTGAAAAGAAAAAAGATATGGGACAGTCTCTGTTTCTGGAGCCTTCTAGTTGTCTCAACAGTGACAGACTTGGACTTCTCTATGTGATCTGTCTTCCTGCTTTTCTGCTTCCAGAATTTTGGTTAGGGCAAAATTCAATAACTGATAATGTGATTTCTCCAGGTCTGTGTGTTGGGAGTTGTATTGTGCTTATCCTTTATATTTGTTACTAACGTCCTCTCAGTGCATTTGGGTTGGAGGAATTCTTCTAGTTGTCCTTTTTGCATGTTCCTGTAGCTCATCCAGCAGCTGTGGGAAAGGTCCCAACTTTGTAGTTGCACGTATCCCAGTAATTACATGATCTTTCCTGGATAACTCTGGGAGATAGTTACTGAGCTCTGAGACTCATAACTTCTGTAAATTCACCCTACCATTTTCTCCCTGATGTGCTTGTTTTTAGCAAATCTCTTTTTTTTTTTTTTTTTTTTTTTTCTGGTTTATTTATCTTTTTCATATCTGTAGGCTAGTGTATAAATAGCACTGAATGTAATCTTTTTTGTTTTGAGTAATGAATTTTAAATGAAAAAAACACAAGTAGTAAATGTGCCATTTAATGCAATAGGATTTTTCAATTCTTACTAACATAAGCCGAATTCCATTCAAGTTAGTGGCATATATTGTTGTGCTGAGACTCAAGATTACTTTGGTGTCAACACTTTCAAGGCTAAACTGCTGGTCTTTGGTTTGAGCAGTGACTAGCTGACCACATGGCAGTTGAGGGCTAATTGTGTAATACATTTCTTTGGGCAGAGGGCAAAGGAGGATGTGTTGCAGAAAGAGGTGCGGGTGAAGATACTCAAAGACAACATCAAGATGTTGGCTGCCAAAGTGCCGTCTAGCGGTCAGGACCTGGCAACTGAGCTGAATGTTGTGCTGGAGAACTACCAGCTACTGTGCAACCGGATCCGGGGGAAATGCCACACGTTGGAGGTAAGAATGGTAGCTCTCAACTTAGTAAAGTGGAAGCAGGTGGCACAAGAAGAATGAAGAAGGACACTGAAAATGTCCGATTTTATCACTGATTCCAGTGGCTTCAGCATAAATGCATTTTGCTATGGCTCCTTTCCAAGATTACTTTCGCTTGAGATGATGTCCAGAGGAATCCATGAGACATCATCCAGCTTTGCTTTTATAATCTGTATTGTAATCAACACATGCAAATAAGTAACCTTGTCCCACAGCTCTGTTATCAATCTGTCTTCCAAAATGACAGAAAAAAACTTCTAAAACAACTTCTGAGATTAAAATCTGAAATATGATAAGAAGAACATGTTGATTATAGATTGGTGTAGGTTGTGTATGTCCTATCTTTCAAAAGGAGTAGATGCATTTTGTTATGTTCCTAAATGATTGCAAGAATCTGATTGTGATAATTTTAGTGTGAGTTTGGAGACTGTGTATTTTTCTTATTTCTCTTTATTTTGCTACTATAGTTGAAAGTTTTTCTGTCCAGAGATTAGTGACCCATGGCATGTTTTTGAATATTTTCTCCTTGCCTGTTTTAGGCAAATGTCTCAGAAACATAATTTCTTTAAGCTGTTCATAGGGTACATGAGCTATGCCTGCCGTTCCAAGATAATCTGTGGTTTTTTTCTGTTGCTGCTAGGAGGTGTGGTCCTGTTGGATTGAGCTGCTGCAGTATCTCGATTTAGAAACAGCTTGGCTTAACAATCTGGAAGAAAGGGTGCAAATGACAGAAAATCTGCCTGATAAGTTGGATGCTGTCAATGATGCTCTTGAGGTATTGTAGTCATTGTATTTGATCGTGACTTTTCAGACAGCTCTGTTTAAAAAAAAAAAACAACAAAAAAACCCCTCGTAAATCATAGAATGATTTGGGTTGAAAAGGACC